TAGTCTTTAATGGACGCTTTGAAGCTGAAACTTTGAGTGAGTATAAAAGCGGGCTGTTTTACACTATGACTCAGCTGCATTGTGGGTAATGAGTTGCTGCTCTGTCTCTGTTTATAGCAAACGCTCAAATTATGATGTTTAATTCTTCAAAGAAAGCATGAATGGCTGTAATAATGGCTGGACCGCAGCTGTTCGGTGTAATAGAGAGATGATTTATGTCTTCATCATTATCAATGAGATCAGGCTGCGTTTAAAGCGGCTCTTTGTTTTGTGTCGCCGCCCGCGGGCTCTTCTTTGACCCATTCATTTGCTGTTTTATCCTCTGCTTCTTTTGAAGGACATATTAAGTTGTATTAGCTGGCATTAAAGGTACAGTGAAGGGCTTTGAAATGTTTATTTTTTTATTCTATGTTTGATGTACTCTGTAAAAAAATGTTTGGTTCCACACAAATCCTTCATGTTGTCTTAATACAAATTGATTAGTAAACATGATTTTATCTTCTCTTCACTGGCTGCCCGTGCACTTCAGGATCCATTTTAAGTTACTTTTATTTGTTTTTAAGTGTCTAAATGGTACTGCAACCCTTTACCTCTCTGAGCTTCTCTGTCCTTACACACCTTATCGTTCGCTCAGGTCAGCCAACCAGCTCCTCCTGGGTGTGCCCAGGACCAGTCGAAAGCTCAGAGGGGATCGGGCTTTTGCTGTGGCTGCACCACAATTGTGGAATGAGCTGCCGTTGTACATTAGACAAGCCTCTTCCATTACTGTTTTTAAATTTCGTCTTAAAACCCACCTGTTTAATTTGGCTTTTAGCAAAGCTTGAGATGTTATGCACTGCAAAAAATGCTTTTCTTACGTAGATTTTTTGTCTTGTTTCTAGTCTAAATATCTAAAATTTCTTTTATCAAGAAGCATTTTCTAGACTAGCAAAACATATTGTCTTGTTTTGAGAAATAAAATGTCAATATTAAGTGAGTTTTTCCTTAAAACAAGCAAAATAATCTGCCAATGGGGTAAGCAAAATAATCT